AGGATGTCCCTCTTTTTATGGCTGAATAATATTCCATTGTGTACATATACCATATTTTATTTATCCATTCATCAATAAATGGACACTTAGGTTGTTTCTGTACCTTGGCTATTTTGAATATTGCTGCAATGAATATGGAAGTAGAGATCTCTTTCAGATCATGATGTGGGATTGCTGGAGTATATGGTAGTTCTAATTTTAATTTGAGAAAGCTCTATACTGTTTTCCATGATAATCTTACCATTTTATAGTCCAACCAACTGTGTAAAAGGTTTCTCTTTACTAGCATTTTTATCCCTTTTCTTTTTGATGATATAACTCTAGTAGTTGTGAGATATATTTCATCGTGGTTTTGATTTGGATTTTCCATATTATTAGTGATGTTAAGCACCTTTTCTTCTGCTGACCATTTGTATGTCTTTTTTAAAGATTTATTAATTTATTTGAGAGAGACCATGAGCAGGGGGAGGGACAGTAGGAGAGAGGAGAGAATCCTCAGGCAGACTCCCAGCTGAGTGTGGAGTCCGACCTGGACCTTAATTTCACAACCCTGAGATTCATTATCTTGTGCTGAAATCAAGAGTTGAATGCTTGGTGTGCCTGGGTGGGTCAGTTGGTTAAGCATCTGCCTTTGGCTCAGGTCATGATCCCAGGGTCCTGGGATTGAGGCCCACATCAGGCTTCGTGCACACTGGGAGCCTGCTTCTCCCTCTCTTGCTCCCTCTACTTCTTCTCTTTCTCTCTCTGTCAAATAAATACATAAAATATATATATATATATTTTAAAGAGTCAAATGCTTAACTGACTGAGCCATCCAGATGCCCCTATATGTCTTCTTTGGAAAAATGTCTATTCAGGTTCTTTGCCCATTTTTAAATTGTTTTTTTTTCTATTGAGTTGTAGGAGTTCTTTGTATATTTTGGATATTAGCCATCTATTGAATATATTGTTTGCAAGCATTTTCTCCCATTCCGTAGGTTGCCTTTCAATTTTGTTGATGGTTTCCGTGAAATTTCTAATATGGAGAAAGAAAATAGAATATCGAGTACCACAATCTGCAACTCATACTGATCTAGACAGATCATAAAATGAACTTAGAACTCAGAGAGGGTGTTGTGTTTTGATTGCCTAAAAAAGAAAACAATACAATTTTATTGTTTTTTTTTTGTAGAGGTGACTTAGAAAAAATAAGGTCAAATGTAGAGATATCTCTGTAATTTTGTTATTTCTTTTTAACCTTTAGGTACAAAATTATGCTGATGCCCTAAACTGGTACTATTATTCTCTGAGATTTTATGCAACTGATCGTACAGATTTGGACTTGGCCAAACTGCGGAGGAACATGGCTTCCTGCTACCTTCATTTGAAACAACTTGATAAGGTGCTTTGATTCATCTATTTTTTTCAAAGGCAGGAAGTGTCCTGTGCAGTGGCAGGGAGATAGGTACAGTTTGGTGTGTCTTCTTGGCTATGAGGTTAAGATATCTGAGAGTTTCTTCATAGAATATAAACTCAAATTGATACTTTCTTGATTTGTACACTGTAAACATGACTGATAGGAACTTCCCAGAAAGAGAGAATTTGAAAAACCATTAATTCCACTACTTACTGGGTTTTGGGGGCACCTTTTTCTGAAAAGTAATACATCATTGGAACTTCTAAACCAAGTTGTTTGCTACTAACCACCTGCAGTATTGTCCTTTGAAGTAGACTAAATTATAAGGTACACTTTTATTGGTCAACCATTCAGTATGGGAAAATACTCAGATAAAATAGTCTTTCTTTTATGTACTGGGTTACCTATTGACTATCCAACCACTCTGGAAAATTTTTAGCAATTGATTATCAGAACAAAATTCTAGGAGGTGAATGAGATAAAAATCTATTTAAAGATCGAGCCATTCATACTTCCTAGAGCAATTGGAACATTTCTTTTTTTGGGTATCATAGTATACACATTAAGTGGGGGAAGGTATTGGCTTGTGGAAGGACAAGTGAGAAGGACAAGTGTAGACCTAGATAAAATATGAAGACTTTTGTTGCTTTTCAGGTTTTAATGACAAGTTTAGGGGAAAATATATGATTACTGGTTGTATTCCAGACATTTTCTTTGAGTTTTTGTTTACTTTGAAGGGTTGTTTATTTGACTAAATACTTCAATTTTCTTTCAAAAGAATATTTACCATTTAGTTTGTATATTAAAAATTTATAGTTCTGGAAGAGAAGTTGAAGTATTACTTACTTAGTTCATGATATTTCAGCACAGCCTAGCATTTAAGTGTTTCAGAAAGATAATTGACGCTACTGTTTACTTAAAGACCTGAAAAAAAGATTATCACACAAATTTTCTGCATAAGATACCATTAACTATTTCAGAAAGATAATTGCTTACTGCTGAAAGATATAAAGGTGATCAGAAAGTTATTGTAAGTTTCATGATTTATGTTGGCCTGGCAGAATGGGAAGGACCTGCATTTGGAGTCAGATATGCCATTTGGATGATTGTCTTTTCAGGCCAAGGAAGGGTATCTGTTCTGCTATCTGTTCAGCTAATACAGATAGAAAGAGTGCAGTACAAGATACTGTGATAGTCTCTGAGGGGTTATAGACATGAACAAGACATAGTTGCCTTTGACTCAACCAAGCAGCTAGCCTCAGAGTATCCTAATGGGCAGATCTTTAAAGATTTTATTTATTTATTTGAGAGACAGCTCACACAAGCGGGGAGGGGGGCAAAGAGAGAGGGAGAAGCAGACTCCCAGCTGAACAGGGAGCCCAAAATGCAGCTCCATCCCAGGACCCTGAGATCAAGACCGGAGCCAAAGGCAGATGCTTAACTGACTAAGCCACTCAGGTGCACCTAGAATATGAGGCTAGAATATGAGGTTGTTTTTAAGAGTGGAGGTTAGGCATAGGGGGCCAGGCTGGGATGCAGTTTCTAGGAGAATATGAAGTGAGTAGATAGAATCTTTCAAGACTTGAAGCAGTGCTTCTTTTTTTAAAGTAGCCTCAACCCCAGTGTGGGGCTTGAACTCAAGACATTGAGATCAAGAGTCATGTGCTCCTCCGATTGAGCCAGCAAGGTGCCCTGAAACAATGCTTCTTAAGTCTCCTCTAACTAATGTCAAATTTGATCCTAGTATAGGACTAAGCCTATAATATGGAATTCAGATGGTATTAGTAAGAAGGTGAAGAAGAGGAGAGCAGGAAACCAGGCATGTCCTAATAGTGTATAATCAGTGTGTGATTATATCACTGAAGGCCAGATTGGTAGTAAACCCAAAAGTTATTTTCAGTATGTTCAAGGTAATCTTGTTGATTATTGTTAGTGTATTTTTCTCTTTCATCCTTCTTGTCTTGAACTTAGCAAACATTGATTTGGTATCTTCCATATGTAGGGAATACTCTCTTAATGCACAAAGAGAAAGGTGAAAAGAAATTACACAATCCATTATATTTTACTATTCCCACCTTCCCTTGTTAATTTTCATTGTCAAATGCTTTTTTCACTTCTTCCCTTGAGCTACTTGAACATTGTTCAGAATAGTTTATGAAACCATGTTTACTGGACCTGCTTAAATTGTATGGTTTTTCAGCTAGGTAAAACTGACTCTTACTAACTTTCTGTCATATTCCTCACAAATTTATTGTCCTCAAACCACCATGCCTTACCCTTCCCTTTAGCAAAATACTTTATCTTGTAATTTTCTGAACTCATAGCCACGCACATGAACTTCATCAACTTCTCCTTTCTTTACTCTTCCTTTCTTCTTCTTATCTCTTAGAAGGAACTTTTTTTGAGGGCCTTCTCTACAATTCTCAACTTCAGCTTTTTAATATTTTTCTCTCAACTATTTCTTTCCCCATCACAACAATTATTCTGAGGTCTTCTTTATAAAAAAAAAACCTTCCTTCAATCTTGTCATCCTACTAAAATTATAGTTCTTTGTTCTTCATTTTATCACCAAACTTTTGAACCTAAAATTACTGCCAATATTTTCTCAGTGCCCATTTATTTAAAAAAATGGTTATTGACTATCTATGTTAAATACTATCCTAGGCCTTGGGATATAATAATGAACAAAATAGACAAAACACCTACATTCGTGGAGTTTATTATTCTCCTAGGACAGAAAATTTAAAAATGAATATTATGGTATATTACAGAGGTCAGCAAAATTTCTGTGAAGAGCCAAGTAGTAAATATTTTAGGTTTTCTATGTCATGCAATTCTCTGTTGCAACTATTAAACTCTGCTGTTATACCATGAAAACAGCCATAGACCATATGTAAACAAATTGGCTTGGCTTTGTCCTAATAAAACTTTGTTATTTAGGAACACTGAAATTTGAATTTCATATAATTTTTGTGTGTCATAAAATATTATTATTCTCGATTTTTTCAACCTTTGAAAAATATAAAACCCTTCTTAGCTTGTGAACTACAAAAATAGATGGTAGCTTAGAAGTGGTTCAAAGGCCATAGTTTGCTGACCCTGTTATATATTAAAGAGTGATGAGTACTAAGCAGGAAAGGGTGGTATTAAATTTTTTTTGTATTAAATGTTTTAGAAGAGGAATAAAGGTTGAAATTTTAGATAGGGTGGCCACGAAGGCCTCAGTGAGAAGGTGGTTTTTGAGTAGAGACCTGAGGAAATGAGGGATCTAGCTAGCTATGTAGATCTCTGGAAACAAAACAAAACAAAAACAAAAGCATAGCATTCCAAATAGCAAGAATAGCAAGTGCAAAGGTTGTGGGGATAAGAGCATACCTGGGGCATCTGAGGAATAGCAAAGGGACTAGTGTGACTTCAGCACAGGTAATATTAAGAAAAGTAGGAGCTGTGATCAGGGAAATAGTGGGGAGATGGATTATGTAAGAAAGATCTTATAGTTCATTGTAAAGATTTATCATTAACTCTAGGTGAGATGGGGAGCCATTGGGGAGCTCTGGGCAAAGAAATGACATGATTTGATTTGCATTTTATTTTTAAAATTTTTAAAAATATGGAACACTTCATGAATTCACATGTCATCCTTGTGCAGGGGCCATGCTAATCTTCTCTGTACTGTTCCAGTTTTAGTATATGTGCTGCCAAATTGAGCACGGTATGACCTTATGACCTGAATTTTAATAAGATCACTCTTACCACTGTATTGAATAGGCTAGGGTGAGTGCAAGGGTGGAAGCAGGAGACCATTTAGGAGGCCATTGAAATAATCTAGGCAAGAGATGAGGTGGCATAGACCAGGGTAGAATTGTGGATGGGGATCAGATTCTAGATAGATTATAAAAGTAAAGATGACAGAATTCCCCGACATACCAGATGTAAGATAGAAGAGAAAGAATAGACAAGACTGACTCTAAGGTTTTTGATTTTATCACCTACTGCTCTCTTGATGATTTTCACATCTTTGAGTTTATAAACCGATCTTTTGACGATCACTAGTAACCTTTTAATGATCAAGTCCAATGATCTTTTCTTAGTCCTTCTTGTCCTCTGATCTCTCTAGCACAAAACAATGTAATACTGTCAACTGTTTCATCCTTCTGGAAACTTTGTGTTTGGCTTCTATGACATCTTCTCTTAATCCTATTTATTGCTGTGGCTATTCCTTCTCTATTTCTGTTACTGGTTCTTTTCACCAAATAAATATTGGATGAGGGAAGGTATTATCTTTATCTTGTTATCTGGTTCACTGTTTTATCCCTGACACCCACAACCATGCTTCATAGATGTTTTAATAAACATTTGTTGAGTTAATTTATTCTCTGGTCTCTTCTTTTTTTTTTCTTATGTACACTCTACTCCCAGTAATCCATCTTAGCTTCAATTCTTCATTCCTAAATCAATATGTGTAGCCCGGATCTTTCTCATAGCCCACATTCACTTTTTTACTATTTTGGGCATATCCAGTGATCTGAGACTGAAATTTTTAGATTCCTGGATTACTTCTTCCCATGTATTCATCATGTGCCACATCTGATCAGTTCTACTTCTGCAGATTTTTGCCAGCTGTCTTCTCTCCCATCTTTACCTCTCTACTCTAGCCCAAGCTTTCATCATCTTTATCATTATTGGAATAATCTTCTAACCAATTACAGGGAGCCACTCAATAATCTTCAGTTACTCCCTGTAAATGAAAACCAAATTCCTCGGTGCTTAAGGTCCTCCATAATCTAGAAATAACATAATCCTATTTTATTTCCATTACATGTATACTGTGTTTATCCTAAATTGGATTATTTGCAGCTTCCAAACCATGATCTATGCTTTTCTACTTCTGTACCTTTTTCCATGCTTCTCCATTGCAAATGACCTTTTCCCTGCATCTCTACCTTATGAAACTTTTTTATGACAGTCTTGGCTTGATAAGGAAATTTCTGAGTCTTGCTTTTCCTCTAAAACTTCATAACACCTCTGTTTATACCTAGGTACTCGTATTCTGCATTGTATTATAGTTATTTGTATACCTGACTTAGCCCCCTATTAGATTGCCACCTCCTTGAGACAAGGACCATATCTTACTTTATTTTCTCTGATAGCTAGCATAGAGCCTAATGTATAGTCAAAGAGACTCAATAAATACCTGTCGATTTCTTGTGATTAAAGGAATTGCATTTGTTCATATTGTTTCTGACCTTGCTACTGTGGATAATTGGAAACCAAAAGTGATCAAGATCTATGCTTGATTATTAGAACTGAATGAGTTTACATTATTTTAGAAATCACCCCATTAGACCTTTCTATAGCTCAGTTCCTTTCTTTTTGGAAGAGAGAAACACATTCTGTTTTATTCTGCTTTAAAATAAAATATTAAATCATAGGTCAGAAGTTAATTTGGATGAGTTAAAGGAGTTGGAGAATATATTCCTCTGAACTCTTAGTAGATTATGTTATGGATTCATTAGTTCATACATTTGGCAACATCTTTTTGAGATAGCAATTCTAAATATAAGTAATTTCTTTGGTTTATTTTCAAAGTTATATATGTGTAAATTTTTCATTGCCATTATCCATTGAGAATATCTTCAGTACTATGTATGAGACAATATTAAACTATGTAGTTTCATAGACATCATCTCTGACTTTGGGGAATTTATAGTATCTTAAGTCTGGTATGTTAAAAATTCTCAAAAATAATATAATAAAATTAAGTGTAAGTCATAGGCTCGAATAGGCAGACTTTTAGTATAGAGGAAATGAACTTGGGTTCTAAGTATAGGAACAGTTGATCACAACTTGATATAATGGGATTTTGCTGCAAATCATAATATCTTAATACCCTTAATTTTCATTAAGAGATGAAGAATGGATTGTTTTGGTGATAGTCTGTAATAAAATTAATGGTAATGCACAATTGAGCACTCTTTAACTCAGTGTAGGAATCTCATCCTCAGCTTACAACTGCAATTTAGCTACATGAAGTGTCATTAGTACTACTATAGGTTGATGAAACTAAAGCACGATTTCAAAGCACAGCATGGCAGTAAGACTTACAACAGTTACGGGATGATACTGTTGGGGCACCTAGGTGGCTCAGTGCTTGAGTGTCTGCCTTCAGCTGAGGTCATGATCCCAGGGTCCTGGGATTGAGTCCCTCATCAGGCTCCCTGTGGGGTGCTGCTTCTGCCTATGTCTCTGCCTCTCTCCATGTGTCTTGAATAAATAGATAAAATCTAAGAAAAAAAGTGATACTATTAATAGAGTATTTATATGACCTAAAGTGAAGACCACCACATCTCATGTGTTGGTTTTATATTGGTTCTACTAACTATATGGAGTTCTAAAAAAAAATCATGCCTTTCCATTGTAGTACTGAAAGTGACCTTGTGATCAGAAGTAAACTAGTAATGTTCACTAGGTGGCACTGTGGCCTTTGTTTCTATTATAACAGCTAGTCATTGATTTTGTGATGCTTTGGCCGGTGTAGCCATTCCCACAAATATATCTGTATGGATGTAAAAGAAAGCACTTAAGTAAACATTAGATGAAAGTCAGTTGTGGCTCATTCCTGATATAGCTATACCATAAAAATACCATAATTGAGGTTTTAAGTCAACAAATATTTATTGAATGCCTAATCTGTGCCTGGTATTATAGAATAAGTAGAATACATGATTCTTTCTATACATAAGCTTAAAATATTTTTATGGAAACAAGATTTACACATACAACATAATTACAAATTAATAAAAATGTATAATCAAGTATCAAATTATGTGGTGAATATCATATGAATTTAGAATCAGAATATGTAGATAAGGACCTTTGTGAATACTGATTGGGTATATATATGACCTGAAGCTGAAAAGAGTAACCAATATGTTAGAAGACAGGCAAATCTGAAGAGACCTCAATAGGCTGAAATGATGAGCCCATTTGGATAAGATGAAGACAAACAGAATAACAATATATCCCATACTTGGATCCCTAAAAACAACTGTACAAGAACAGAATAGATGAAATGTGGCTTAAGAGCAGCACATGTAAAAGATTTGCGATGTTTTTAGTTGACTGTAAGCTCAACATCAGCCAATAATGCTGAGAAAATTAATTCAAATTAGGTTGCATCATGGGGCGCCAGGGTGACTCAGTGATTGAATGTCTCCCTTTGGCTCAGGTTGTGATCCCAGAGTCCTGGGATCAAGTCCCATGTCGTGTTCCCTGTGGGGAGCCTGCTTCTTCCCCTGCCTCTGTCTCTGCCTCTCTCTGTGTCTCTCATGAATAAATAAAATCTTTAAAAAAAAACCAATTAGGTTGCATCAATAGAAAAGTGAAGGAGTGATAATCACCCTGTATTCTGCTCTGGTTATAGCATACCTATAATACTGTGTAGGATTAAGAGGCAACACTTTTGAAGGAGGATATTGACAAACTCTAATGTGCCAAGGAGAAGGTACTCAGGATGGTAAGAGCCATCTTATTTGAAGAATAGTTAAAGGAAATATGGATGTTAAATTTGGAAAATGGAAGATTTAGGAGGAACATAATAACTTTCTCCTAATATTTGAATGGCTATCAAGGAGTAAAATAATTAAATTTATTCCAGGCGCCTGGGTGGCTCCATCAGTCAAGCGTCTATCTTTGGCTCAAGTCATGACATTGGGCTCCCTGCTCAGTGGGGAGTCTGCTTCTCTCTTTGTCCCTCCCTCCTGCTTGTTATCTCTCTCTCATGCTCTCTCTCGCTTTCAAATAAACAAAATATTTTTAAAAAATTAAATTTTTTCTGGGGATCCCTGTGTGGCTCAGTGGTTTAGCGCCTGCCTTTGGCCCAGGGCGTGATCCTGGAGTCCCAGGATCGAGTCCCATGTCAGGCTGCCTGCATGGAGCCTGCTTCTCCCTCTGCCTGTGTCTCTGCCTCTTTCTCCCTCTCTGTCTCTCATGAAAAAATAAATAAAAATCTTTAAAAAAATTAAATTTATTCTATGCCTATTTTCATGGGTGAGACATACAAGGAGTGAGATTTCAGGTCATCATAAGGAAACTATAATGATTAGACCTGTCTAAAACTGAAATGGATTTTCTTAAAATATAGTAAATTCCGGGATCCCTGGGTGGCGCAGTGGTTTGGCGCCTGCCTTTGGCCCAGGGCAGGATCCTGGAGACCCGGGATCGAATCCCACGTCGGGCTCCCGGTGCATGGAGCCTGCTTCTCCCTCTGCCTGTGTCTCTGCCTGTCTCTCTCTCTGTATGTCTATCATAAATAAATAAAAATTTAAAAAAATATATAGTAAATTCCCTCTCCCTGAAGGTATTTAAGCAGAGAGTGACTACTTGGTGTTAATGTTATAAAGAAGATTCAAGCATCAGAAGAATTTTTTTGACTAAGAGAATTTTAAGATCTCTTCTAACATATTGCTCTAAGATATCATTATAATCTGGTAAAATCTATAATAGTCAAAGATTTTTTGGAGTTCATAAGTTCATAGATTACTGAATTATAGAACTGAAGGGATCCTTACAAATCATTATTAATTTACTTTAAAAATCAAATTTATCGAAGTATAATTTATACTAAGAAACACTCATTTTAAGTATACAGTTAGATAATTTTGACAAATATATGCCCTAGTGTACCTAACTACCCAATCCAGATACAGAAT